AGAAGTACAACCCTGGGGGTCCCCAAGGGACAGACTGACTTATAGATCAATGTATACATAAGACTTTGATGGGTCGTTGGGGACAAGTTTCCATCATCTGACATTCTTCAATAAGCAACTTAATAAGAGCTGCTATACATAATCATTTTTGAGAACATTTTTATTGACTATTGACTAACAGAAACAGCAACCCGTTATCTGTAATTTAAGGCCTTTGTAAAGGTGTGGTATATGAATGTGGTATATCCAATGTTGATCTAGAAAATGCAGTCTCTGTCTCAAGTTCAAGCTGACCAGTAGCCTATGCAAAACGACATTGGAACTCTCCTATAGGACATGCAAAGAATTTGCTTTGCATAAAGCAAGACATCAGTGGAAATGTCCTTAGCTACTCAACTCCATTCACCTTTTAAAAGTTGCTATGCTTTGTGTTTGCAGGAAAAGTGGAGAATCTGTCAGGTCTCTGATAAACATTTTGTGATGGTGGTGCTTTTGTGATGATGATTCCATTTTGTGGTGGTGGTCCTTTTGTGATGATGATTCCATTTTGTGGTGGTTATGCTTTTGTGATAATAACTACACAGCGGTTATAGCCACCCCACCAGTGGAGGCTGCTTAGGGGAGGACGGCTCATAATAATGTCTGGAACGGAACGAATGGAATGGTATCAAACCATGTGTTTGATGTATTTGATACCATTCCACTGATTTCACTCCAGCCATTACCACGAGGCTGCCCTCCCCAATTAAGGTGCTACCAACCTCCTGTGCCACCCATACTGTGTGTGTGCATTGCGCCACCATAAGCAAGTAAAGAAAATGTGTGTACATGAGTGTGTGTGTGTATGTGTTATAGCAGACATGAGAGGGTTCACTTCAGGCCCCTGGGTCCATAGCAGACCCTAGAACATGAAAGGAAAATTACAAACGCCTTTCCACTCAACGCCATTACAATCTTCCTGGAAATTCTCACTAGGACCTGCATTGCTGTTTCAAATGCTTAATACAATTCCTTCCTTCCTTCCCGAGAGAGAGAGAGAGAGAGAGAGAGAGAGAGAGAGAGAGAGAGAGAGAGAGAGAGAGGTTCTGAGGTCTGGGGTCCGCTCACCAACCAAGAATTCACAAAATGGGACAAACACCAAATTGAGACTCTGCATGCAGAATTCTGCAAAAACATCCTCCGTGTACAACGTAAAACACCAAATAATGCATGCAGAGCAGAATTAGGCCAATACCCGCTAATTATCAAAATCCAGAAAAGAGCCGTTAAATTCTATAACCACTTAAAAGGAAGCGATTCCCAAACCTTCCATAACAAAGCCATCACCTACAGAGAGATGAACTTGGAGAAGAGTCCCCTAAGTAAGCTTGTCCTGGGGCTCTGTTCACAAACACAAACAGACCCCACACAGCCCCAGGACAACAACAACAACAACACAACTAGACCCAACCAAATCATGAGAAAACAAAAAGAGAATTACTTGACACATTGGAAAGAACAAACAAAAAAACAGAGCAAACTAGAATGCTATTTGGCCCTAAACAGAGAGTACACAGTGGCAGAATACTTGACCACTGTGACTGACCCAAACTTAAGGAAAGCTTTGACTATGTACAGACTCAGTGAGCATAGCCTTGCTATTGAGAAAGGCCGCCGTAGGCAGACCTGGCTCTCAAGAGAAGACAGGCTATGTGCACACTGCCCACAAAATGAGGTGGAAACTGAGCTGCACTTCCTAACCTCCTGCCAAATGTATGACCATATTAGAGACACATATTTCCCTCAGATTACAGCGATCCACAAAGAATTCGAAAACAAACCCAATTTTGATAAACTCCCTTATCTACTGGGTGAAAAACCACAGTGTGCCATCACAGCTGCAAGATTTGTGACCTGTTGCCACAAGAAAAGGGCAACCAGTGAAGAACAAACACCATTGTAAATACAACCCATATTTATGTTTATTTATTTTCCCATTTGTACTTTAACTATTTGCACATTGTTACAACACTGTATATATATACATAATATGACATTTGAAATGTCTTTATTCTTTTGAAACTTCTGAGTGTAATGTTTACTGTTAATATTTATTGTTTATTTCACTTTTGTTTACTATCTACTTCACTTGCTTTGGCAATGTTAACACACGTTTCCCATGCCAATAAAGCCCTTAAATTGAATTGAATTGAATTGAATTGAGAGAGAGAGAGAGAGAGAGAGAGAGAGAGAGAGAGAGAGAGATCAAACTGAATTAGGCTGGTAGCAGAAGGTACAGTGAATTCAATGGTGCTATGTGTACTTGTTCCTGCAGGTGGCACAAGCGTCTGAGGGAAAGTATTGCTCCTGTGCATTCTCATTCATATCTATAGGCAAACGTAGAGTATACTGTATGAAATACATTTTCAATATTTGTTGATGATGTAGAGTGTTGGGATGTAAACATAATCAAATGTATAATTTTGTCTAATAAACGTTAGATACTGTCGATAACACAATATAATAATGTTTTGCCTTCAGTGTATGTATGAACAGATTTTTTGTGTAATGATGTGCAGTGAGAGATCTTAGTAAGAGGATGAGAGAGAGGAGGAGAAAGAGGGTGTGAGTGAGGAGAGAGAAAGAGGGGGGAGGAGAAAGAGGGAGAGCGAGAGAGATGCGGGAGGTATAGAGACCCAACTGAGGGCATGGATATTTTATGACCTTTTTTCAGGGAGCTGCATTAGGCAGTAGAGGAGAGAAAGAGACAGAGAGAGAGAGAGAGAGAGAGAGAGAGAGAGAGGGAGGGAGAGACAGAGAAGAGAGAGAGAGAGAGAGAGAGAGAGAGATAAGAGAGAGAGAGAGAAGAGAGAGATAGAGAGAGAGATAGAGTAGAGAAGCTGAGAGAGCGGAAGAAGAGAGGATTTGGTGGGAGCGAGCTCTCTCGAGCGAGATAGTTCGTGAGTCGCTCTCTCATTTCGCGTTCCTTGTCTCTCTCGCCCCCCTCCCACACCGAGATCTTGATCGTCCTGAGCCAAAGTCTCCTTGATCTTGTAGGTTTAGAGACACAGATCAGAGTTAGGGAGAACCCACAAGACGAGGGAGAGACGAGCAGAGAGGGAGGAGAGACCAGAGATAAGAGAGAGAGAGATAGAGAGGAGAGATCATTTTCTACAGTAGGCAACTCAGCCCACACTAACAAAAGCTCCTTCATATCAGCGGCGTAAAGAGAATACTTTGAATACTCTAACGACCCTTGCATATTTTGCATAGAAATTCCGCTGTTGGGTTGTCAAAGTCTGGTGAAAGGGTAATATTGTTGCATGCCTCTGAGACCACATGTAAGTGAATATCTATGGCAACAGTAAGGACACGTCGCTGTCAAGGCCTCCTGTCGTTCCCACTGAAGTCTTCTAAGAGTGGAATGAAATAAGGCTGTCTTTCTCTCCAGAGGATGGCGATGCTGTGGTGCATGTTGATGCTGTTACTGAATTTCCTTTTACAATATTTTCCTTCCCAGCTGTCACTGCATGTTCCCTTATCTTCCCTGCTCTCTCCCCCTTAGCCTCGTCTCTGAGCGTCAGTTGATGTGTGTGTGTGTGTGTGTAGGATCTGAGCGTGTGTGTGTGTTTTTGTGTGTGTGGACACAGTGTGTGAGTGTGTACACAGTGTCTGAGTGCGTGTGTGTGTTCAGTATCAGAATGTGTGTGGGTGTGTGTACGCACAGTGTGTGAGTTCAGCATCTGAGTGTGTGCGCAGCGTGTGTGTATATAGTAACTGTGTGTGTGCCGTGTATTTGTGAATGCAGGCGGAGCCCTCTGCTCCAGTGGGGTTGTGGAGCCTGCCTGCCTCACACTGCAGTTATTGTTCGGGGACAAAGAGCACTATGACGTGAAGAGCATCCCTCATAAAACCTGCCATTTGGAATGACGTGCCACCCACCGGCTCGTGACAGCTAGGGAGAAAATAAAGAGAAGCTGGCTGGAGGAGAGCTAGTGTTGCGTCACTTTTAATATGATGTGTATTTTCAAAGTGGCTTTACAAGTGCAGTCTTCACTGTGCTTTCAAATAGATTAATTATCTCTAAAAGAAAGAAAGAAAGAAAGATAAAAAAGACAGCACTTTGGGTTGTTTCATGTATTCTGCAATATGTTTGAAGCACGCTGATTGGCTTACATTTGTTTTTGAGTGTGTGTGTTTTTGTTCATTGACTGAGCATTTCATCTCAACCACAGGCGACAAAGAAGTTGCAGATTTCGCCTTTAAAATGGACAAAGGTAACATTTAAAGGGAGACTCATACCTGCAGCCATTTCAAGAAAAAGAAAAAAAACTTTTAATAAACAAATCAATATACATAAATAAAACAAGTTGCACATTTCAAACAAAACAAACATACCACTCAACATTACATTCCTATAGCAGAAAACACTGTTATTTTTCTTCCCAAGCATTTACAGATTTTCTTAAAAACGTCAAGAAGCAAACATAGACATTGTATAAAAGCATCATACAGTGAGCATCCATCCGCATCAGAGTATAATTTACAAACTTACTGAAGGATAAATACTTTTGGGCCTATTCCTAACTTGAGAGACAAACACTTACCATCACATCAGTGCATGATTTACATGAAATTCCAAGTTAGTGCATTTCCCAAGTTAGAACCGTGCCCTTTATTAGTGATAAATAACAGTAGAATGAAGTGGAGGTGAAAGCAGTCCATAAATTCATGGGGAACTCACAAATCATCTACATATGTAATGTATAGTATACTTTATGATATCTAGCGTCCAAATCTCCGTTGGTCTCTTCCTTGTGGTGAATCATAAAGTAAAGTCAAGACCATCTCTGGCACAAGATATGGTGTGAGTGGAATAACATCTGACATGGCACCCTACTCACCGTATAGTGCACCATGTAGGGAATAGGGTGTCACTTGAGATGGAGTCATTATAGACAGCTGTCCATCATTTCAGCCTCCAGAAGAAGGCTGAGGCTAGCCTGGTGTAGCATGTAGCATCAGTAGGGTGCAAACTTCTGTCTGTCGGGTTTCTTGATGCAGTTGGCCGAGGAGATTTTGGTAGTGTAGGCCGCCAGGGTGGCGTGGGAGGGGGCTGTGGTGACAGCGACCTGGGGGGCGGGGCTAGAGAGTGTCAGGAAGGGGACAGACTTGACCCCTAGCAGGCCGGAAAAGGGCAGAACGCCGTAGGGGTGGCCCATGACGGGGGTTGGGGAGAGGGCACTCATGGCTGCCAGGGTGGAGGCGGAGTGGGGGGAGGAGGCCGGGGAGACAGGCTGGGTGAAGGCCATGTTGAGGTCAGCCATGTTGGGGGCGGCCATGGACGCTGCCTGGGCCGTTGATTTAGCTGTCTCTAAACTATGGAGAGAGAAGAGGAGAGGACGAGTGGCTTTCAATACAATACAATAGAATACAGTACAATGCAAAACATTGCAATACAATACAGATGTATGAATTCTCTAAGGGATTATTACCAGAACAAGAGCACAATGACGTCATTACCGCCCATCCCCATGTTATTAAAGGTCCAATGCAGCCATTTTGATCTAAATATCAAATAATTTCTGGGTAACAATGAAGTACCTTACTGTTATTTTTTTTTCAATTAAGATGGTCATAAAATAGACAAAAATATACTGAACAAAAATATAAATGCAACATGCAACAATTTCAAAGATTTTACTGAGTTACAGTTCATATAAGGAAATCAGTCAATTGAAATAAATGAATTAGGCCCTAATCTATGGATTTTACATGACTGGGAATATAGTTATGGATCTTCCTCTTCAATGGCTGTGCGAAGTTGCTGGATATTGGCGGGAACTGGAACACACTGTCGTATACGTCGACCCAGAGCATCCCAAACATGCTCCATGGGTGAAATGTCTGGTGAGTATGTAGGCCATGGAAGAACTGGGACATTTCCAGGAATTGTGTACAGACCCTTGTGACATGGGGCCGTGCATTATCATGCTGAAACATGAGGTGATGGCGGCGGATAAACGGAACGATATCTCTGTGCATTCAAAATCCAATAAAATGCAATTGCGTTCATTGTCCATAGCTTATGCCTGCCCGTAACATAACGCCACCGCCACCATGGGGCACTCTGTTCACAACGCTGACATGAGCAAACCGCTCGCCCACACGTGTCTGCGGTTGTGAGGCCGGTTGGACGTACTGCCAAATTCTCTAAAACAATTTTGGAGGTGGATTATGGTAGAGAAATGAACATTAAATTCTCTGGCAACAGCTCTGGTAGACATTCCTGCAGTCAGCATGCTAATTGCATGCTCCCTCAAAACATGAGACTGATCTGTGGAATTGTGTTGCGTGACAAAACTGCTAATTTTAGAGTGGCCTTTTATTGTCGCCAGCACAAGGTGCACCTGTGTAATGATCATGCTGTTTAATCAGCTTTTTGATATGCCACACGTGTCAGGTGGATGGATTATCTTAGAAAAGGAGAAATGCTCCCTAACAGGGATGTAAACAAATTGGTGCACATAATTTGAGAAATAAGCCTTTTGTGCATATGGAACATTTCAGCTCATGAAACATGGGACCAACACTTTACATGTTGCGTTTATATTTTTGTTCAGTGTAGCTTCTTAGCAAAGAGCAATTTCTCAAGCAATAATTTAGCTAGGACTGTCTGAGAGTGGTCTGAGTGGGGAGGGGAAAACTGAAAACTAGCTGTTATTGGCAGAGGTTCGGAGCTCTTGGTGATGTCACAAGGCAGGCCAAAACTCTATCCCATCAAAACAGGTAGACATTTCTGTCGGTTTTACAAACAGCTCTTACACTAACAGGGCATTATCATCACTTTCACACTATTAATCCTCATAGTGTGGCAGATATACAGTTGAAGTCGGAAGTTTACATACACTTAGGTTGGAGTCATTAAAACTGGTTTTTCAACCACTCCACAAATTTCTTGTTAACAAACTATAGTTTTGGCAAGTCGGTTAGGACAGATTATTTCACTTATAATTCACTGTATCGCAATTCCAGTGGGTCAGAAGTTTACATACACTAAATTGACTGTGCCTTTAAACAGCTTGGAAAATTCCAGAAAATGATGTCATGGCTTTAGAAGCTTCTGATAGGTTAATTGACATAATTTGAGTCAATTGGAGGTGTACCTGTGGGTGTATTTCAAGGCCTACCTTCAAACTCAGTGCCTCTTTGCTTGACATCATGAGAAAATCAAAAGCAATCAGCCAAGACCTCAGAAAAAAAAATGTAGACCTCCACAAGTCTGGTTCATCCTTGGGAGCAATTCCCAAACGCCTGAAGGTACCACGTTCATCTGTACAAACAATAGTATACAAGTATAAACACCATGGGACCACGCAGCCGTCATACCGCTCAGGAAGGAGACGCGTTCTGTCTCCTAGAGAGGAACGTACTTTGGTGCGAAAAGTGCAAATCAATCCCAGAACAACAGCAAAGGACCTTGTGAAGATGCTGGAGGAAACAGGTACAAAAGTATCTATAGCCACAGTAAAACAAGTCCTATATCGACATAACCTAGAAGGCCGCTCAGCAAGGAAGAAGCCACTGCTCCAAAACTGCCATAAAAAAGCCAGACTACGGTTTGCAACTGCACATGGGGACAAAGATCGTACTTTTTGTAGAAATGTCCTCTGGTCTGATGAAACAAAAATATAACTGTTTGGCCATAATGACCATCGTTATGTTTGGAGGAAAAAGGGGGTGGCTTGCAAGCCGAAGAACACCATCCCAACCGTGAAGCACGGGGGTGGCAACATCATGCTGTGGGCGTGCTTTGCTGCAGGAGGGACTTGTGCACTTCACAAAATAGATGGCATCATGAGGGAGGAAAATATATATATGTGGATATATTGAAGCAACATCTCAAGATATCAGTCAGGAAGTTAAAGCTTGGTCGCAAATGGGTCTTCCAAATGGACAATGACTCCAAGCATACTTCCAAAGTTGTGGCAAAATTATTAAGGACAACAAAGTCAAGGTATTGGAGTAGCCATCACAAAGCCCTGACCTCAATTCTATAGAACATTTGTGGGCAGAACTGAAAAAGCGTGTGCGAGCAAGGAGGCCTACAAACCTGACTCAGTTACACCAGCTCTGCCAGGAGGAATGGGCCAAAATTCACCCAACTTATTGTAGGAAGCAAGTTAAACAATTTAAAGGCAATACTACCAAATACTAATTGAGTGTATGTAAACTTCTGACCCACTGGGAATGTGATGAAATAAATAAAAGCTGAAATCATTCTCTCTACTATTATTCTGACATTTCACATTCTTAAAATAAAGTGGTGATCCTAACTGACCTAAGACAGATATTTTTTACTAGGATTAAATGTCAGGAATTGTGAAAAACTGAGTTTAAATGTATTTGGCTAAGGTGTATGTAAACTTCCGACTTCAACTGTATGTACAGTGAGGGAAAAAAAGTATTTGATCCCCTGCTGATTTTGTACGTTTGCCCACTGACAAAAACATGATCAGTCTATAATTTTAATGGTAGGTTTATTTGAACAGTGAGAGACAGAATTACAACAACAAAATCCAGAAAAACGCATGTAAAAAATGTTATAAATTGATTAGCATTTTAATGAGGGAAATAAGTATTTGACCCCTCTGCAAAACATGACTTAGTACTTGATGGCAAAACCCTTGTTGGCAATCACAGAGGTCAGGCGTTTCTTGTAGTTGGCCACCAGGTTTGCATACATTTCAGGAGGGATTTTGTTCCACTCCTCTTTGCAGATCTTCTCCAAATCTTCTCCAAGTCATTAAGGTTAACCTTCAGCTCCCTCCACAGATTTTCTATGGGATTAAGGTCTGGAGACTGGCTAGGCCACTCCAGGACCTTAATGTGCTTCTTCTTGAGCCACTCCTTTGTTGCCTTGGCCGTGTGTTTTGGGTCATTGTCATGCTGGAATACCCATCCACGACCCATTTTCAATGCCCTGGCTGAGGGAAGGAGGTTCTCACCCAAGATTTGACAGTACATGGCCCCATCCATCTGGCCCCACCCTTTGATGCGGTGAAGTTGTCCTGTCCCCTTAGCAGAAAAACACCCCCAAAGCATAATGTTTCCACCTCCATGTTTGACGGTGGGGATGGTGTTCTTGGGGTCATAGGCAGCATTCCTCCTCCTCCAAATACGGCGAGTTGAGTTGATGTCAAAAAGCTCCATTTTGGTCTCATCTGACCACAACACTTTCACCCAGTTCTCCTCTGAATCATTCAGATGTTCATTGGCAAACTTCAGACAGCCCTGTATATGTGCTTTCTTGAGCAGGGGGACCTTGCGGGCGCTGCAGGATTTCAGTCCTTCATGGCGTAGTGTGTTACCAATTGTTTTCTTGGTGACTATGGTCCCAGCTGCCTTGAGATCATTGACAAGATCCTCCCGTGTAGTTCTGGGCTGATTCCTCACCGTTCTCATGATCATTGCAACTCCACGAGGTGAGATCTTGCATGGAGCCAGAGGCAGAGGGAGATTGACAGGTCTTTTGTGTTTCTTCCATTTGCGAATAATCGCACCAACTGTTTTCACCTTCTCACCAAGCTGCTTGGCGATGGTCTTGTAGCCCATTCCAGCCTTGTGTAGGTCTACAATCTTGTCCCTGACATCCTTGGAGAGCTCTTTGGTCTTGGCCATGGTGGAGAGTTTGGAATCTGATTGATTGATTGCTTCTGTGGACAGGTGTCTTTTATACAGGTAACAAACTGAGATCAGGAGCACTCCCTTTAAGAGTGTGCTCCTAATCTCAGCTCGTTATCTGTATAAAAGACACCTGGGAGCCAGAAATCTTTCTGATTGAGAGGGGGTCAAATACTTATTTCCCTCATTAAAATGCAAATCAATTTATAACATTTTTGACATGTGTTTTTCTGGATTATTTTGTTGTTATTCTGTCTCTCACTGTTTAAATAAACCTACCATTTAAATTATAGACTGATCATTTCTTTGTCAGTGGGCAAACGTACAAAATCAGCAGGGGATCAAATACTTTTTTCCCTCACTGTAACACACAGAAAAATCATGTTTTTGACTGCACTGGGCCTTTAACCTTTGCCCTTAACTGTTATGGAAACAAAATCCCCTCTCCCTCCCCCGGAAGTGATTGGTTAGCCTGGATCGCATCGGCCAATGGCCTTACCAGGAGGTGATGAGGTACTGGGCCAGGTTGATGCTGATTGGTGTGCCGGTAATGGTGACATGGCGGTCACTGGTCCCGTCTAGCTGACTGCCAATCTTGATCTGAGCCCCCGACATCTGCCTGATCTCATTGATCTTAGTGCCCTGCCGGCCGATGATCGAGCCTATCAGCTGCAAGAGATAGATAGATAGATAGATAGATAGATAGATAGATAGATAGATAGATAGATAGATAGATAGATAGATAGATAGATAGATAGATAGATAGATAGATAGATAGATAGATAGATAGATAGATAGATAGATAGATAGATAGATAGATAGATAGATAGATAGATAGATAGATAGACAGATAGACAGATAGACAGACGGACGGACGGACGGACGGACGGACGGACGGACGGACGGACGGACGGACGGACGGACGGATGGATGGAGAGGTGGATGGATGAACAGCTATATGCAGTGGATATCTGTGCAGAGAGTCTCAGCACTTGATTGCGTTCAGATTGTCTAAGAGTTATTTATTACGTTGCAAATGTTTCGAGAGTTGTTTCAAGAGTCTCAATATTGCAATTAATCAAACAAAGCTACTGTAGGCTATATGACAGTGGTGTTTATGATGCTGATTATGCTAACTATTAATAATGATAAAATGCTGGCAATAATTGTGAAAGCTTGTGTTGAGAATGTGTGTACATGTTATTATTGGTCTTCTACAGTCTGTGTATGAAATGCACACCTCTCTGCAATGGCCCCGCAATCGATCATGCATGTCAAACACACAGTTTTTCCAACCTATTCCTTAATTGCAGTGTTCCGTGCCCCAGTAAAACAGACAGGAGAGAGAGGGGTTACATTTGCACTCTCATTAATTTGAATGGCTAAAAGGTTATTGATTTCCATCGCCGTGGCGACTTCGCAAACAAATCACTTCCCGAACACGACCCAGAATAGAGGCATCTCTCGGCTAATGGGAAAATAATTCAAAACACATAATCTACAATCCGGCTGGTTTGTGTAGTCTCTTTTTGCTGACATTAGTTTATAAGATGCTGACATTAGTTTATATGATGCTGACATTAGTTTATAAGATGCTGGCATTAGTTTATAAGATGCTGACATTAGTTTATTTGATGCTGAGATTAGTTTATAAGATGCTGACATTAGTTTATATGATGCTGACATTAGTTTATAAGATGCTGACATTAGTTTATAAGATGCTGACATTAGTTTATATGATGCTGACATTAGTTTATAAGATGCTGACATTAGTTTATATGATGCTGACATTAGTTTATAAGATGCTGACATTAGTTTATAAGATGCTGACATTAGTTTATAAGATGCTGACATTAGTTTATATGATGATGGCATTAGTTTATATGATGCTGACATCAGTTTATAGGGGGTCTTAGCTGATTTTGTTATTGGTTTCTGTTGTCTTGGACCTTTGCCCTGTTGGAGAATAATACATTCTCAGCAGGGCCAAGGCCAGAGGATCATGCTAGGTTTAGGTTTAATTTATTTGCACCAAAGAAAATAAGTGATAAACAACCATACAGATTTTTTTAAAGAAAGAAAACACTCAAAAAACGGTGTACAGGTGAGGTTGGAAGCCCAGGGGCTTATATGAAAACCACACCACAAAAAAACTATATACAACACATAAGTACAAAAATAAAAAAGGTTTGTTAAAACAGATCTACTAATCATAAATGTACAAATGAACTGATCAGGATCACCCCCCGCCCTCCCCCAAAAAGTATATGTTTTGTTTAAATGTGTGTGTGCATGTGAGTGTGTGTGAGAGAGTTGGGCTATATGGAGGAGATTACTGTGTAGTTTGGTTCATCAAGCTGATCCACAGTCTTCACTTGAAGTTATTGAGGGATGATGAGGTTTTGGCAATGTGAAGATAAGAATTCCAGATTATGGTACCTCTGTATCTGATAGAGAATTGACTATGTGAGGTGTGGCAGTGGGGAGGGTGAAGGTTATCGCAGTGTTATATAGATGGATTTCAGAAATAACCTGTAAGAATCCATTGAAGGGTTTAGGTAAACTGTCTGGAGGTATGAGTATTTGTAGATGAAAATGCATAATTGGCGTACATTGATGTCGTAAATAGACAAGATATTGAGTTTCTTAAACAAAGGTGCAGATGGAGGCAGGTAATTAGAGGAGGTGGCATATGTAGGTAGGAGGCATATGTAATGGCCCACACAATATTACAGTAAATTAGATATGGGTAAATTAAGCTATAGTAAAGAGTTAGGAGCAAGCCTGATGAACCAAACCACAAATCTTTCTGATGATACCAACAGATTTCATCACTTTGCTGCAGACAAATTGAACATGATCTTTCCAGGATAACCTTTCATCAATTAGAACTCTGAGGAATCTAGTGGATGTGTCTTGTTCCATTTCATTCCCATCCTTTTTTTCTTTTTTTTATTTCTTTTTTTTTTTACAATATTTCTTATTCTTACTAGTGGATACAATGAAGTTGGATTTTGTAACATTTAAAGATAATTTGTTTATCTGGAACCAGTCTGGAACCTAGGCCTAAGGATCAGTGTATAGGCCCAGGGTCTAAGCCTGAGTGCAGGGTGTCAGGCCCCAGAGGCAGGGGTTATGCTGTCAGATAAATGGCGAAAGGCCTAGACTGTGATGGAGTACCTCCAGTATGTGTGCGTTGGCAGCTTAACAATGGATGACTGATAGTGGCCACTGTGCCACACACACACACACACACACACACACACACACACACACACACACACACACACACACACACACACACACACACACACACACACACACACACACACACACACACACACACACACACACACACACACACACACACACACACACACCCACACACACACACACACACACACACACACACACACACACACACACACACACACACACACACTGTTCTCCTGCTCCTGTCCTTCTCCCTGTATTTCACATTCACATTCCTTTCCTGCGAAGTCACTGTCCTGTTCAGCAGCATTTCATTGGTCACACAGCATCCTGGTTGGTCTCCCTGGCTATTATTGGCACATCATATTATTCAGTAAGCAGCTAGCTAGGCATTGGCACAGCCCAACCAGGCTAAAGAGCAACCCAGGGAGACAATGAGCAGCACTAGCAAAGACCTGGGATCAGAGATAATGACCAGTACGCTCTCCTGCTGGGAGGGAGAATCAGTACCTCAGAACAATACATTCGTTCTGAGCAACTTGAACCAATTCATCTTGATGCTTAATTGATTGTGAAAAACAAACTGCATTGTAGGTATAGGAAGACTTCTGTCTAGGCCGTTGTAATCCCAAAACAATGTTGAGCAGAAGGCTTGTTTTGAATGTCTACAGGGCAATTTTCAGAGGTAGTGTAGGAGCTCTAGGGGCTTACGGATTTAGTGTAGAGCCAGGTTAATAACATGCAGGTAATAGACCACTGTGTTCACTAGTGATTACCAGTGCTAAGCAGGACATACACAGTACAGTAACACTGCATGCCTCACCTCAGCTGCTACTGTAACTGGCCTATATTTTCTTAGAATTCCAGCTGAATTTGTAATTTGAAAGGACACAGGAAGAAGGATGGGGTGGTGGGGGAGTCATCATTTTTCTCCAGGCTAAATCTTCCCTGGGCAGAAGTACTGCTGTCTATAGCTCTTCCTCTCTCTCTCTCTCTCTCTCTCTCTCTCTCTCTCTCTCATCTATGTAGCCTCCTCCCTCCCTCTCTTTCTCTTTCTTCAGCTGCACTACTATGGAAGGGAAGGACAGGGGAAAGCAAATACCTGGTGTGTGTACACCTTATCGCTTTACCGCTTCTTTGTATTCAGATCAGTGCAGATGAAGATAAAAGAAAGTGGATAAGGAGAGGAAACCGTTTTAGATTATTGAGACGCACCCAGCCTAAATCTCCCACTGCAGCTCTGAGAATGGGTCCTAAATCCTGCACTGGTCTGCAGTCTTTGGTTTCTGCTATGCCTGAGAGAGCCAGAGACACAGAGAGACAGAGAGAGAGAGAGAGAGAGAGAGATAGGGCTCAGCCACGGCTATAAGTCCTCTCTGGAACAATGGCTGGAGCTTAGACTCAGCTGTCCCTGTCACGCACCCCACTCTACAGTACCAGCCATTCCACTGACAGATTGGAAGGTTTGATATTTAAGGGTTTGCTGGAGAGAAGTGGTGACGTTGTCCAAGAGTTATGTCTGGTTGGTTGGCATGTCATCTTAAACAGGAGAGCTTATTGCACTCTGTCATGGTGCGATTCAGTTCAAGATTGTAGAGTACATGAAGTCTGATCAATTCACACAGTTGGACAGCCTATGCCAGTCAGTGCTAGATCATCACAGAGGGCAAATCTGTGTAGTCTCCTTTCCGAATGTTTTCCAGCATCTCCGTCTCTTGCTCTGTGATTGGAGAGGCATCACATGCTGTGTCTGAGTGAGAGGGAGAGGATCTCTGGCTGTTTTTTATTGTCTGTTTTGACAGCAGAGAGATAGTAAGTAGGTCAGGGAACAAGAGAGGATTAACTGGGTACTCATGGGAGTCACTCCGAGACATTGCAGCTGGAACCCAGACAATAACACTAGGGGATCCATATCGGCTCAAAATGCCCACGACCTTGGGTTACTCTGGGGTTAGAATGACTTGGGTAATTAGTATGTTGCCAAGATGTCTCCCCTTCCTACCTTTGATGTTACCCAAGACACAGTCTCTCGCACGCCTTGAACCTTCAAGCATTTGAGTTGTTTACATGTGTGATATGATATTTCTGCTTCTGCTGCTGTTTGGTGTGTTGTTTGGTATAAAGCCTGCAGTAGATTGTTCTGGATAACAGCATTCGGTTGGTGGTAAATTCCATTTCATTAAGTTTTTAGGAAATTCTCATTCAATGATTGAAAAGTGGCAGTTATTTTCAATTAGTATTTTTTTCCAATTTCCTAGAATTTTATTGGAATTTCAATTCACCTCCTAAATAGACTTAACCTGAAGGACGTCTGATAAAATAACTGAAATGTAGAATGTAATATTATGTTTAATTAACTGCTTACATCGTTTGGAATAAGGAGCTCCTGTGATGTCTGGGGGTTTGAGTCCATTCCTAATGAGAGAGAGAATATGTAACTTAACAAACCCTTTCATACAGTCATTCATATATTCATCTATTACATTTGGCTTGCAGGTCAAGCAAACCAGCATAATTGACATGATACATGATAAATATTTTCGGTGGTGTAACGGATAGATTTAGCTAAGCAGCTAATTTCCATTTGAATAGACTTGTGTTTCACATGTCACAGTGTCTTTTATTTCTCCAGGCTCTCTGATACTGTGGTGGAACACATAGTTTCCCTTTTCACTGCCAGATATGGAGAGCCATTTATGAGAGAAAACTGTTGGGAGCTTCTTCACATCTTCACTCCCACAAGCACATAATCAGCTGGGCTAATGACATGGATCCCCTCACTCTCACTACTGGAGCAAGATATGCTAGGTCTTAACAGGAGATGTTCTATCTCTGCTCATCCTTCCCTGACAAACTGTTGATGTTACTGATATTTGGCAGCTGATAGGAAAACATGACTAATAGAATGAAAGACGATTACAGTAAATGTCAAGCCAAAATCTAGCTATAGTGTAGTTAGTGTATCAGGTTCGCTTTGACTAAGATCATCACTCAAGAGGGGCACTAGTTCTGGTCTGGATGTATACTGTCCTACGTCTCCTACAGCTTTAACTATCACACCTACAACAACTTGCACCTGTTATCCTTGTGAATACCCATTCAGTTAAATGTATTTGACTGCCATGTGGGCTAAATAAAGGACAGCAAACTCATACCAGGTAGAATGGTTGTAGCCTGGTGGCACATGGGACTCTGCTGCATGTTCTGCTGCATGTTCTGCTGCATGGTCTGCTGCATGTTCTGCTGCATGTTCTGCTGCATGGATAGCTGATGTAGCTTGGCCAACTAGGACACAAAGGGATTGTAAGGTTCCTCGTAACAGTTCGAATAGCAGTTTGGATACTTTGCGGTAAAATAAATAGATGAAAGTATATTTATACTGCTAATGGTAACTACAGTATATATAACCCCACTTACCTCTGTATGTGGAATGCCATATTGGTTTTGTACAGTGTAGGCCTGGAAGAGATCACTCTACATTAGGCAAATGACAGTAATAAAACATTGTTATGCCAATAACCACTTAGTAGACAGTGTATAAAAGTGCATCACTGATATATCATATTTATACAGTATACTACATCAACAATTGCTAAGTACACTATATATACAAAGGTATGTGGACACCCCTTCAAATTAGTGGATTTGGCTATTTCAGCCACACCCATTGCTGACAGGTGTATAAAATCGAGCACACAGCCATGCAATCTCCATGGACAAACATTGGTAGTAGAATGGCCTTACTGAAGAGCTCAGTGACTTTCAACGTGGCACGTCATAGGATACCACCTTTCCAACAAGTCAGTTCATCAAATTTCGTCCCTGCTAGAGTTGCCCTGGTCAACTGTAAGTGCTGTTATTGTGAAGTGGAAACATCTAGGAGCAACAACGGCTCAGCTGCGAAGTTGTAGGCCACACAAGCTTACAGAATGGGACCGTTGGGTGCTGAAGCGCGTAGCGTGTAAAAATCGTCTGTCCTCGGTTGCAACACTCACTACAGAGTTCCAAACTGCCTCTGGAAGCAATGTCAGCACCATAACTGTTTGTCGGGAGCTTCATGAAATGGGTTTCCATGGCCGAGCAGCCGCACACAAGCCTAAGATCACCATGCGCAATGCCAAGCATTGGCTGGAGTGGTGTAAAGCTTGCCGCCATCGGACTCTGGAGCAGTGGAAACGTGTTCTCTGGAGTGATCACCATCTGGCAGTCCGACAGACTAATCTAGGTTTGGTGGATGCCAGGAGAACCCTACCTGCTGGAATGCGTAGTGCCAACTGTAAAGTTTGGTGGAGGAGGATTAATGGTCTGGGGCTGTTTTTCATGGTTCGGGCTAGGCCCCTTAGTTCCAGTGAAGGGAATTCTTAATGCTACAGCATACAAGGGCATTCTAGATGATTCTGTGCTTCCAACTTTGTGGCAACAGTTTGGGGAAAGCCCTTTCCTGTTTCAGCATGAAACAAGTCCCCGCAGCAATGTTCCAACATCTAGTGGAATGCCTTCCCAGAAGGATGGAGGCTGTTAGCAGCAAGAGGGGGACCAACTCCATATTAATGCCCCTGATTTTGGAATGCAATGTTCGACGAGCAGGTGTCCACATACTTTTGGTCATGTATTGTATGTGGGGGAAAATACATCTCAGATTTAGAATAGTACCACACAGAATGCCTTATGAAGATCTTATAATATAATCACTGCCATTTAGCAGACGCTTTTATCCAAAGCAACTTACAGTCATGTGTGCATACATTTTACATATGGGTGGTCCCGGGAATTGAACCCACTAGCCAGGCATTAGAAGCACCATGCTCTACCAACTGAGCTACAAATGACTACAGTTGGTACCACTTTTTATGAACTTCATTATGAATTCTATAAAATGCATGAATGTATTACACACAGCACAGGTAGCACATAGAAGTGTTACCAGCATCTTAAATGTGATGGCACGTCAGTCCAGATTGGACATCATCAGGGGGTTGCCATTTTCACAGCAGGGGGCCATTTAACCAACCTCCATACTCTGTAATGTGCCTCCTGTAATAACTCCACACTCTGGTTACCTCAACTCTCTCGCTCCCTCTCTCCTATCTTCCCCCTCTCCTCTCTCTTTCTCTCCCTTATCCCCCTTCCCTGTCTCCCCCTCCTTTCTCTCTTCTCCATCTCCTCGCTCTTCCCCTCATCTCTCTCCTCCCCCCTCCTCTCTCTCTTCCCCCCTCCTCTCTCTCTCCCCCTCCTCTCTCTCTTCCCCTCCTCTCTCTCTCTCTCCCCCTCCTCTCTCTCTTCCCCTCCTCTCTCTCTCCCCCCTCCTCTCTCTCTCCTCTCTTCCCTCCCCTCTCTCTCCCCCTCCTCTCTCTCTCTTCTCTCCCCCTCCTCTCTCTCTTCCCCTCCTCTCTCTCTCCCCTCCCTCTCTATCTCTTCCCCTCCTCTCTCTCTCCCCCCTCCTCTCTCTCTTCCCCTCCTCATCTCTCTCCTCTCTCCCATCCTCTCTCATCTCCCCCTCCTCTCTATCTTCACCCTCCTCTCTCTCTCCCCCTCCCTCTCTCTCTTCTCCTCCTCTCTCTTCTCCTCCTCTCTCTCTCCTCTCTTCCCCTCCTCTCTCTCTCCTCCTCATCTCTCTCTCTTCCCCCTCCTCTCTCTCTTCCCCTCCTCTCTCTCCCCCTCCTCTCTCTCTTCCCCTCCTCTCTCTCTCCTCCTCCTCTCTCTCTCTTCCCCGCCTCGCCCTCTTCCCCTCCTCTCTCTCTTCCCCTCCTCTCTCTTTCCTCTCTTCCCCTCCTCCTAGCCCTCAGTTCTCTCCTCCTCTCTCATTGGTCATGGTGGTGTCCATGTATCCCCATGGTCAGGCCAGACAGCACTTAGCTAAACTCAATTCTGACCGACGCCAGCAGTCTGACTAGTATTAACACTCCATGCCATGGCCATAATCTGGAGTAGAGGTTGTATGCGCTCCCCTGTTATGCACCAAAACGACACACTAAACTTGAAGAACAGGAAACATGGTCAGACCATGGGTAATACCATCATATTTTCATCACTAGGAGAGATACAGCAGAATCAATAATCATAATCGACATAAGGGACCAGATCTAACCAGTGGAAATGTTTTTTTTAAATTATATTTTTTATATAATTGTGGGTTCAGTTATGTATCAGAAGAACATCAGGGAGGCTCCCAAAGCCATTCTGAAATAAATGATTACAGTAGCTAGCTAAGGTGTGAATCACCACAAGCTGTTTCACCTCTCAGAGAACATCAGGAAGAGACAAGAAGAGACGTGTTGCTTTAGAGCACCAGTGGACAACACCTTCCTGCCTCTACATACAGTATCTATTTATGTACTGTAAAGGGCCAGCCAGGACCCTGCTGAAAAAAACAGCATAGACCAGCATAGGCTGTGTTTTCGTGGTGCCTTTGTTGGGTTTATGTGGTGACCAGCCTATGCTGTGTTTTTGCTTTTGACCAGCCTTCGCTGTGTTTATGATGGTGACCAGTATTCATTGTATTTTTGCTGGTGACTAGTCTTCGCTGTGTTTTTGCTGGTGTTCAGCCTTCGCTGTGTTTTTGTTGGTGACTAGCCATTGCTGTGTTTTGGACACTGGTGACCAGCTTATGAAAAACCAGCATCAAGTCACATTATGCTGGCTTGCAAAGTGATGTTTAATTCCTATGGAATTGAGCCAGAGTGGGGACATCCAACAATTTGAACTTTTCTTCCCCCACAATATGAATTCATAATGTCTGCCAGGGTAAAATAAATCAAAAAAAAAAAAAAAAATGATTGGACTACCAAACCATCTAAACTGGAACAACCATTTCAGTAACGGTTTGAATAAGTCCAACTAACAGATTGGATTAGTTTAGAAAAATGTACAGTATGTTATTTATCTTTGTGTAGTATGAGATGACTTAATCAATCAATGTACATGCAAAAACACAAGAAACAAAACATATATTGAAACAAACAATTCAAAAAATCAACTGCAATAGACCATCCTGGGAAATATGATAATGAGGGGCGTTGTCAGACCAACATGACAAAACTACACATTTTAGTGGCCTTTTATTGTCCACAGCACAAGGTGCACCTGTGTAACGATCATGCTGTTTAATCAGCTTCTTGATATGCCACACCTGTCAGGTGGATGGATTATCTTGGCAAAGGAGAAATGTAGACAAATTTGTGCACAACATTTGAGATAAATAATTTTTTTGTGCGTATGAAACATTTCTGGGATTGTTTTTTTTTCAGCTCATGAAACATGGGACCAACATTTTACATGTTGCGTTTATATTTTTGCTCAGTGTAATATCCAGCTTGGTCACCAGCATACCAGCATCATCAGCATAAGATGGTACGTGTCCAAAACACAGTGAAGTCTGGTCACCAGTGTCCAAAACACAGTGAAGGCTGGTCACCAGTGTCCAAATCACAGCGAAGGCTGGTCACCAGTGTCCAAAACACAGTGAAGGCTGGTCACCAGTGTCCAAAATAACAGTGAAGGCTGGTCACCAGCAAAACCAGCTAAGCATGCTGATAAATCAGTATAACCAGCTAGACCATGCTGGTCAGACCAGCTTTGACCAGCATCCAACCAGCACTGACTAGCATAGTTTATAGAGTTATAAACTCTATGCCCCTATAACCTCTTTGTGATAGTTAGAGTGATATGAAAAGATGAGGGGGTAATATGAAATGGTTGGTAGAGGTGTAATGGAGTGTTTTGTGGTATTTAGTCACAGCAGTTGTCATATTTGTGATGCTACGTTGGAATAATGGCTGCAGATTAGGCTCAGCTGTTGTTTTATAATATCATGCCAATGATATGCTACCCACTTTTTGACATCCCAGATTCCCTTTTCAAGCCCTCTACCAACCTCATACACTGAGCTGTGAAGCTCATTCTAGACAATCACGTAGCCTATCAACAGCTCCATGTACATCCTATATCAAATGTACATAGTTTAATCCATTTTAATCAAATGGTTATTTTGTTCAATGTTTTCATCCCTCAAAGTTTTACTTTAGACCACTTTTATATTCATAGTTAGAGGTGTTAGTGTAACCTCAGTTAATCTATCACTCACCTGCTGCAGGTCAAGCCCCCCCTGGGAGACTGAGTACAGAGGGTGGGGGGTAAAGTCTGATGCCTCAAACACCTGAACATACACACAGCACACACAGGGAGAACAGATATTAATTTAGCTTTTTAAGGAAGCTCATTCGTTACATACTGTAAACCAGAGCAGGCTGGTGGGTGGAGCTCTAGGAGGATGGGCTCATTGTAATGGCTGGAATGGAATTTACGGAATGGAGTCAAACATGTGGTTTCCATCTGTTTGATGTGTTTGACTCCCTTCCATTAATTCCATTCCAGCCATTACAATGAGCCTGTCCTCTTATAGCTCCTCCCACCAGCCTCCTTTGCTGTAAACACAGAGTCCCTAGGATAAGCTAAGCAGACATACTAATAGCAAAACATGGAAGCTAAATTCATGTAATAAATCATTCATGTAATAAATCAATGAGTACCAGCCTTTTAAAGTGTCATCCCAGAGCATTTTCAACATCATAAAACCATACAGATATATTGGTAAATCCCACAGACTACATTCATTTTCCAACTGAAATGTTTCACTGAAAACCTCTTCTGTTCCTCTGAAATCTAAAGTAAAATATATCACGTTTTTCTTCCTTCTGGAGTGTATTGACTGGAGTAAAGATGAAATAGAGTGGTCCTTGGAGCTCCATCTCTTTATCTGGCTTATGGTATGAGTCACCATCAGAGGAGGCTGGTGGGAGGAGCTATAGGAGGATGGGCTCATTGTAATGACTGGAATAGAATAAATGGAACTGAGTCAAACACATCAAACATATGGAAACCACATGTTTGACTTTGTTCCATTTATTCCATTCCAGCCATTACAATGAGCCCGTCCTCCTATAGTTCCACCCACCAGCCTCCTCTGGTCACCATCCAGCTGAGTGTTTCCCATTGTAGTTCATTTTTATCCTCTGACACATTACACAAACACTCCTTATCACTGCTCTGTATTCATTAAAGCGCGTCAGCTTCCTCTGAGCATAGTTTCACCCTGCAGTTTAATTTGATATCTTATTATGAGCACTCTCTCAACTCAATACCATATCAGACATTTGAGTGTGAGGCTCAGACAGCTCATATATTGTAACAGGGTTTGCATCCCCAGGACAGTCAAGCATAGCAACCAGGCTCCACTGCAGTCCAGCCCAACACTAGAGGTCTATAGACAGTGGCTAAAATGTTTTAATCCATGGGGGTCCTGACATCTCCCCACCCCCAATCTCATCCCCCTACACTCACACAAATACATACAACCCCCAAGTAGCAAAATAATCTCTTGTATTCACACTGGGTTGAGTCATGGGGTGGCACTGGAGTGAGTCATGGGGTGGCACTGGGGTGAGTCATGAACCATAACTAGGGATCTTACATAGAATGGTGCTCTAAAGACCCTCAATAAGTATAGTGAGGGAAAAAAGTATTTGATCCCCTGCTGATTTTGTAAATTTGCCCACTGACAAAGAAATGATCAGTCTATAATTTTAATGGTAGGTTTATTTGAACAGTGAGAGACAGAATAACAACAACAAAATCCAGAAAAACGCATGTCAAAAATGTTATAAATTGATTGCATTTTAATGAGGGAAATAAGTATTTGACCCCTCTGCAAAACATGACTTAGTACTTGGTGGCAAAACCCTTGTTGGCAATCACAGAGGTCAGACGTTTCTTGTAGTTGAACACCAGGTTTGCACACATCTCAGGAGCAGTGGCGGCTCCTGAAAAAATTCTCAGGGGGGGCAATTTTTCTGATGATTTAGGTGACCTACACACATTTTAAAAAAGATATGTCCAGCAACAACATGAAGACAGGGGCAGCATATAAGTCAATACCAGAAGCATTTATTGACTGATCTCAAAAGTGTTGGCTTACCAGGGTTGGTGGAGCCCTCAGTTTCATCTTTGCCTCGCAAAGCTAACTCAAACACTCCGCAAAACTTGTCCACCAGTATCTGTCTTTTTATCTCACGTTGTACATCTCTTAAAGCCTGTCTATCACCCCCAGCATAAACTGCCTTCTTCCTATCAAGTAGTGATTTTAGATGTTTTGATACCCAAGGCTTGTTGTTAGGGAAGATTTTACAGGTCTTAGTAGGCACAACTGACTCAACACAGAAGTTTACATAGTCTGAAATAACCTCTGTGAGTTCATCCAGATCAGAGCTGCTGTCCTCAAATACCTCCCACATTGTACAGTCAAAACACCCCAAGTGATACTGTTGTCATTCCATATCTGGACAGTTTTAACTGTGGGTTTCTCCCTCTCCAGGAGGCGACAGTAAATTGGCCTGAGGTAGACCACATTGTGGTCTGATGTCCCCAGAGGAGGTCTGGTGGTGGCAGAGAACGCCTTTGGTATTGTCCCATAGCACAAATCAAGAGTCCTATTTTTCCTAGTGTGACATTTCACATACTGATGGTATGTGTGCAAGACTTTGTGCAAGGTACAGTTGTTAAAATCCCCTAAAATAAATGTGGGTGCGTCGGGGGAGATGGATTCCAGTTTCTGTGACAGATTATAAATAATCTCTGATGCCTTTGTTATATTAGCTTTTGGTTGAATGTACACAACGGTAACAAACAATTGGGGGAACTCACGGGGCAGATAGTAAGGTCGCAGTGACACAGAAAGCAGTTCAATGTCGGGGGTACAGAGTCGCTCTCTTACCAGGATCGATTTACACCACTGGTCGCTGACAAGCAGGCAGACGCCCCCGCCGTGAAGTTTCCCTGTGACTGTCAGATCGCGGTCCGCTCTGACCAGGGTGAAGCCGGCCGGCTCCACTTCTCTGTCCGGGACTCTGTCATCCAGCCAAGTCTCAGTAAATGCCAGCAAACAGGCCTCCCGATATTCGTGTTGGAAGCGCAGATTCGCTGACAACTCATCCGCTTTCCCCCTCAGTGACTGGGCATTAATCAGCAAGGTGGTGGGTAAGGGAAGTTTGTTCTTAATTTTTTTTAAGTCGTTGTCTGATTCCCCCGCGTTTTCCACGTTTGCATTTGGGTTTGTAATCCACTCGCAGACAGTCAGGTATTAGATGGGCCATTGGGATATCCATCGCGTTCGTATTTGAGTTGCATTGTAGTAAAAACTCCCTGCTGTATTGGATTCCGCTGCCAGCAGCGTTTTCATTATTTAGTCCGTTCGTAGCGGGTATGTACACGATCAACAAGATCAGTCCAACACCGTGACCCCACCACTGGAAATCCATGGTTGGCAGAATGTTTGTAAACTAAGTGTACAAATTAAAAACATAAAATAACGCCACTAAGTGTACAAATTAAAAACATAAGATTAAAAACATAAGATAACGCCACACCAAACGTCACACACACTGCAGGTCGCAACAGAGACGCTGCTACCCGCTCTTTTCTTAGTTACGTTCATGGTTATGTTACGTATGACGAAAGCGCGTAAGTGCAAGCCCTCAGACACCCATAGAGATTGTATTGAAAGCTCTGAAATTGGAAAAAAATAGATTTTACATGGGAGTCTATGACAGACTTCTGGGCGATTTTCAACCTGACTGAAATCGCCCCAAAAGGGGGGGGGGGCCATTTGAAGCACGACTTTAGCCTGATTGGACATTTAGTGGCAGTGTGGCACTGTGGCAGATCAGACGTCTAGATTACAACACTGATAACTACTGTTGCCGTGATATAATTGATTAGAAAAAAAATCCCTTCCTTTTCCCGTTTGGCAGTGCGTCGCCCATATCGCCCTATTGAACACACCGCCCCTGCTCAGGAGGGATTTTGTCCCACTCCTCTTTGCAGATCTTCTCCAAGTCATTAAGGTTTCGAGGCTGACGTTTGGCAACTCGAACCTTCAGCTCCCTCCACATATTTTCTATGGGATTAAGGTCTGGAGACTGGCTAGGCCACTCCAGGACCTTAATGTGCTTCTTCTTGAGCCACTCCTTTGTTGCCTTGGCCGTGTGTTTTGGGTCATTGTCATGCTGGAATACCCATCCACGACCCATTTTCAATGCCCTGGCTGAGGGAAGGAGGTTCTCACCCAAGATTTGACGGTACATGGCCCCGTCCATCGTCCCTTTGATGCGGTGAAGTTGTCCTGTCCCCTTATCAGAAAAACACCCCCAAAGCATAATGTTTCCACCTCCATGTTTGACGGTGGGGATGGTGTTCTTGGGGTCATAGGCAGCATTCCTCCTCCTCCAAACACGGCGAGTTGAGTTGATGCCAAAGAGCTCCATTTTGGTCTCATCTGACCACAACACTTTCACCCAGTTCTCCTCTGAATCATTCAGATGTTCATTGGTAAACTTCAGACGGCCCTGTATATGTGCTTTCTTGAGCAGGGGGACCTTGCGGGCGCTGCAGGATTTCAGTCCTTCACGGCCTAGTGTGTTACTAATTGTTTACTTGGTGACTATGGTCCCAGCTGCCTTGAGATCATTGACAAGATCCTCCCGTGTAGTTCTGGGCTGATTCCTCACCGTTCTCATGATCATTGCAACTCCACGAGGTGAGATCTTGCATGGAGCCCCAGGCCGAGGGAGATTGACAGGTCTTTTGTGTTTCTTCCATTTGCGAATAATCGCACCAACTGTTGTCACCTTCTCACCAAGCTGCTTGGCGGTGGTCTTGTAGCCCATTCCAGCCTTGTGTAGGTCTACAATCTTGTCCCTGACATCCTTGGAGAGCTCTTTGGTCTTGGCCATGGTGGAGAGTTTGGAATCTGATTGATTGATTGCTTCGGTGGACAGGTGTCTTTTATACAGGTAACAAACTGAGATGAGGAGCACTCCCTTTAAGAGTGTGCTCCTAATCTCAGCTCGTTACCTGTATAAAAGACACCTGGGAGCCAGAAATCTTTCTGATTGAGAGGGGGTCAAATACTTATTTCCCTCATTAAAATGCAAATCAATTTATAACATTTTTGACATGCGTTTTTTTGGATTTATTTTGTTGTTATTCTGTCTCTCACTGTTCAAATAAACCTACCATTAAAATTATAGACTGATCATTTCTTTGTCAGTGGGCAAACATACAAAATCAGCAGGGGATCAAATACTTTTTTCCCTCACTGGACTATATTTCACACAATAAGTCTATACAGGGTGTGGATGTGTTTGTGGCATTCTCACCTGGTTGCCAGAGATGAGGAGTGCTCCTGGGGAGAGGCTGGGCCGGTAGGGAATAGTAGCACCCTTCGGGGGAGACTGGGGAGTCAAACATAGGACAAGGGGTCTGGTGTGGTGAGATATCGAAACACCTTTATCACTAAAATAAATATGACAAATGCAAGTAAAAATGTGTGTGAAGGATTTCATCTTTTAAATTTGGCTAATGTTGTGTCACTTATGTTGTGTGGGAGGGAAAGAAATGGAGCAAATGGCGTTGAAGCAGGGTGACAATGAATGGTGTATTAAACTACTAATGACATTTCCATGACATTTGTCTCCTTGTTTTTCTCATGGTGACATTAGTCATTCATTGAACAGTTCAACCATTGAAACAGCAGCTCTTTAGGGTTGATTGGATTGTTCTTGGGTTTGTAATCTCAGCCTTCAACTCAAGTTGTTCAACATCCCCTTGGATATGTCAAATGCACACACACATGCATGCACGCACGGATGCATGCACTGCACGCATACCCACACACACACACACACACACCCACACACACACACACACACACACACACACACACACACACACACACACACACACACACACACACACACACACACACACGCACACATGCACATTCACACTTAACTGACAAAAACCTACTCCCTTTCAGAGAAAACTCATGAACTCACCAATTACAAAAGGAAACTAAAAATGGGCAAAACAACACACAAGAAGTTGTCATAAGGATGCAGGGTTTTCTGGAAATGTGGAGCATCTTTTCTGCCGGAGCAGATTCTCTGTATAACTTTGCATAATTTACATCCTGAAGCGAAAAACAAGGCCCCGCTGGAAGAGAATCCTAATGAAAGTTGCATGCCTTTGTAGAAAGCCCTGGAAAACTGGATCAAACTAGCTATTAGGCAGTCAGGTCCAGCTGCAATGCAAAAAGGACTTGTACACGGCACGTACGCATTGGAGGGAAATATGCTCCAGGTTGCTTTTTTCCCTTTTCCCCAACTCCTGTTTCTCAAGAGAACAGTTGTTTAAAGGTGAACACACTTTGCTGCAGGTCAGTTTGTTTTCGGGTTAATATCTTGATGTTCTTTTCCAACAATGGAAAACTTGAGCCAGGCTGCTTTCCTCTGTGACTGGCTCATCTGGCTGCTCTATAATAAGGTTTCTCAGAGTCTAATAGGGTCCGCAAGCAAAGACCAGAGGATGGTGACTAATGTGTACTGAGCCGAGGAGAAGTTAACTTTAGCTGGCTCTTCAGGACGGATGCTCCACATTTCCCTAAGGCTCAGATTAGTGGAACTATTATAAACTCTCATCTATATTCTTGGTATGGCAGTAATTCAATCAAATCAACACTATGGCTAACACCCAAACTGGACAAATATAACATTGCTCTTGTGCCACAAAAATGCAGAAACACTTTTATTGTTACTCCAGCAACAATGTAGTGTGGGTTTGATTGAATTCCACTCTTGGTTATGGATGTCTGTGTGTGAGGGGAATAGGACAGGGAGAAGGAGAGGAACGGCGCCCTACCTCCAGGATTACAGTGCAGATGAGCTTGACACACTGGATTACAGAGTCCTGACTCCCCGATATCGTCACCCCTCGCTCAGTAGAGTTGGGCAGCAAATCCCCTGCCACCTGTATCTGTGCTCCGGTGCTCTGCCAATGATAGGGGTTTAAGGAAAGGATTACACCGATTCAGAAAGATATGGCATTCTAATAATCACACTGACATGGGTCCATCTCTATGGTTTGTTGACCTTCTAATAGAGGGGTCGTTCCATGAAATGAGTCCCGTTTGGGTAGTATAACTTGGTAAAAAAACAACAACTTTGATTTCACCTAATTTTAACATTCTGTCATGACGAGCAGTTGTTCAACTTAAGAGGCAAAAAAACATGGACTATAGTAAGTGCTTATTAAGTGCCAAATAAAGTAACAGGGTTGACTGTAACAGGGTTGACGATTGCGTCTTAAATCAGCCATAAATCCCCTTGTGACAGGGGAATGGAAGCTTGTTGTGTGCAACAGGGAGGGGCAATTCAATGCAAGCTTCACAATTGATTTATTTATTTAAACATTTCTAGCATGTCTATCTATGGGTAACAGGGTTGACGTGTTTTGTTCGACCCACTCAGTTTTCCACCACAAAATACCAGAAGATGGCCAAAAAGAGTAGAACCAGCTCACCTGCTTTTACGTTATGATTTGACTATTAAATGTTCAATGTTTCTCTTGAAAACAAATATTTTAAAAGGATTTGTTTCAACATATTAAAATGAGAGTTCAGTTCATGTAACAGACCTTACAATGAAGGTCAAAACATGTTTTACCTTAAAATGAATCACTAATCACATGAAATAACTAGGGTTTTACAATGATGGTGAACATTTTGAGAAATGTTGGAGTTAAGTGGGTTAAAATCTTCAGAGAAGTCACAGAGAGTGCACAGGGGGAAAATACTGAATTTATTCATAATAAAAATCAGATTTATTGAATGTTCCATGTGGTCTATATTAAAGGGCACTTCATTTAATATGACAGGCTTTTAAAATCCAATATTGGTGCATAATTCCTACTTAAAATATCAAAGGGGACTCATTTCATGGAATGACCCAGAGATGAAAATAGGGGTTTTCCCCCTCATTTCACAGAGAAAGCTTAGTGACTTTGTGATAAGCTTAGCACTAAACCTTGGGTGGTCATGGATGGATGGAAAGACCAGCATACAAATAGTAGTGCCCTGCATGGAAAATGAGTTTGCAGTAGAGTCAAAGCACAGTGCAACTGCCACTCTATGTGAACAAACAGAGTACATAATGCATCCTGACCATAGGATATCGTGTATGGTTCCCGATAGTAGCTTGGTGCCCTTGAGATAAACACAAACCAGACATGAAACAGACTGGCATATAGTCGCCTGGAGCGCTGATCAGGGAAGGGAGTAGCTAACTCCCCACTCTGTCTACAGTCACGTAAAATGGCTGCCTTTTTCTAACTCTAAAGGGACTTGTTTCTTGCCTGAAGTCAACAATTTTTTAAATATTTCCCCCCAACTCAATCGTCATCCCTTTATCGTAGCTTTCTTTAAACAAGTGTCAGCTCATCCAGATACGAAGCTGTGGACAGAGGTGATAGGGAGGTATGACGAGGATGCTCAATTTAGCTAGCCTGGGTGCCAGTTTCTTTTTGCTTTAGGGCTCTATTCAATCTGTATCACTGAAGTGTTACAGATAGCGTGATAGAAATGTAAAGGTAATTTACGATTGAGCTGACATATGCAGCGTTTACCGTGAATGCAGTCTCCGCTAACGCGGGAACATTGCCTTTAAATTTCAATCATGCTGTAACGCTGAACTTCCTCGATACGGATTGAATAGAGACCATAGTTAACTTGTGGTACCTGAATGCAGGTAGCTATTCTGAATGAGTCTCTCACCTCTCTGATCTCCCTGATCTTGGCCCCTCCCTTGCCGATGAGGGATCCACACTGGCTGGCTGGGATGACCAGTCGTAGGGTCACTGGGGGTTTGCTGCTGATGGTGCCGTTGGCCACCAGTGTAGTGAGGTCCTGGAGAGAGGGAGAAAAGGAGGGGGAAAAGATAGAGAGGGGGACAGAGGAAGAGAGAGAGAGAGAGAGAATGATGGATGATAAGTCATTGATGGCATAATCCCTAAAAACCCGGCTTTGATTGAACGGGGGCCTTGAGTGGCCCTGTAAAGGTAAGGCCTCAGTCAGGTTGTTTAAAATGTTTCTTCATTTGACCAGGTAGTAAACCAGGTAGTAAAGAGCCTCTCCTTCACTCCAGTGTGGGTGGAGATTGAGCTGATAATTAATGAACAGTCAGGCTCCCTAAGCCTTTGAAATGTAAATGGCCCTCGCTATCTCTCTGCCCATCAGCGCACATCCCGTTAACTCGGCCTGAAAACAAGTCTCTCCCCCTCTGTCTCCGTATGGCCTGGCAGAATACAAAGCACACAGCATGTATTTCAAACAGAATGCGTTAACTAGGCAGTGTGCAATAATAATAATTTCACGTACTTTACAGAGGTGCCCTCCAGGGGATTTGACCAAAAAAACATGTATTTCTCCAACAGTTCTTGTAGGCCTACTTTTTTTTATATAAAACCCATGTATCTAATGCAGCTATGATGCTTGGTTTTCTCTCAGTGTCTAGATTAAGTGAGGCGGATGGATCTAGGCAGCATCGCTGGCGTGGCATTGTCTTATTATATGAGGAGCACGTAGCTCGTCAGTGGGATCGCAGGGCTCTGGGCGTCATCTCCTAGATTGGATCTAAAATATGCGTCATACATTAACAACTGTGAACGGCGCGATCCTTGCTCACTCACCAAACTCGGTGAGCGACTCTCAAAAGCAAATTGGCGTAAATACGTCCGGGGGTTACAAGAATCTGCAGTCACACAAAGAGGCGCTGGGCATAATCCCCTGTGTATGCTGTGGTTAGGACGATAAGACATCAATGGAGAATGACTAAACTGCTCCAAATAAAATCTCCTTTCCTGGGAGCAACAAGTCAAGTACAGCACGTATACCAAGCACTAAACTGTGGTCCTTTGTGATTAGAGAGGCACAGTGGTTCTGCCCAGACTCAAGTAGCCCTATCTACCTGTGCTTATAATGACTGGATAAAGTACATTTCATGGACCGCCTTAATGATAAAATCATCATGATGAAATGAATGATGAGAATAACTACTTAGAATCTAGTCCTAGACCATCTATCCCCTAGCCACAGTAGTGAAATCCTTTAACCCTTTACTGCAGGGGCTAAATCAGGGTCACACAGAGTGTTTCTTGGTAGTCTTAAACAAATCTACTTTGAAACAAAAGTATACACCTCACACACATGGTTATGGGCTTTAAAAAAAGAAGACACCTGTACCATGTCAGATACAGAGTTGAAATGTATTCAATTTTGAGTTTACATCCCAATATTACACTTTATACATCACAGAAGACTGAAATAACAAAACCTTTTGACATAGAAACACCTGATTTCCGGCGTTTAAAAAAAATGATGTTTATTTGTCACGATCGTCGAAGGAGGACCAAGGCGCAGCGTTGAAGGCAAACATACTCTTTATTTAGTGATACACGACAAAAATAACAAAACGATAACGTGACGTCCACGGTCTAACACAAACCACACTGGAACAAGATCCCACAACCACTGTGGGAAAACAGCCTGTCTAAATATGGTTCCCAATCAGAGACAACCAGCAACAGCTGACACTCGTTGCCTCTGATTGGGAACCACTCTGGCCAACCTAGAAATACAACTACTAGAAAAACAAATGAAACTCACACCCTGGCTCAACATACAAGTGTCCCCAGAGCCAGGGCGTGACAGTACCCCCCCCTAAAGGCGCGGACTCCGACCGCGCCAACTAAATACCACAGGGGAGGGACCGGGTGGGCACTCCGCCCTGGCGGCGGATCCGGCTCCGGGCCTGATCCCCACTCCCTCTCCAACCCCCCAAAGTACCCCTGGTCCGGTCTGGCCCCGCTGGCCGGAGCTGGACTGCACACTGGTGGAGCGGATTGCTCTAGCTCCGGCGTGAAGCAGCTGACCGGTGCCGGACCAGGCACCGGTGGAACAGGCACGGGCCGTGCCCGACTGACGACGCACACCACTGGCTTGGTGTGGGGAACAGGCACGGGCCGTGCCGGACTGACGACGCACACCACTGGCTTGGTGTGGGGAGCAGGAGCGGGCCGGACCGGGCTGGCGACGCGCACCATTGGCTTGGTGCGGGGAGCAGGAGCGGGCCGGACCGGGCTGGCGACGCGCACCATAGGCTTGGTGCGGGGAGCAGGAGCGGGCCGGACCGGGCTGGCGACGCGCACCATTAGCCTGGTGCGGGGAGCAGGAACAGGCCGGGCCGGGCTGGCGACGCGCACCATAGGCTTGGTGCGGGGGGCAGGAGCGGGCCGGACCGGGCTGGCGACGCGCACCATTGGCCTGGTGCGGGGAGCAGGAACAGGCCGGGCCGGGCTGGCGACGCGCACCATTGGCTTGGTGCGGGGAGCAGGAACAGGACGGGCCGGGCTGGCGACGCGCACCATTGGCTTGGTGCGGGGAGCAGGAACAGGACGGGCTGGGCTGGCGACGCGCACCATTGGCTTGGTGCGGGGAGCAGGAACAGACCGGACCGTACTGGGGACACACACCACTGGCCCTACGCAGGGATCTGGAACGGGCCGGACCGGACTGGTAACACACCCCAGTACCTCTCGCCGTGCCTCTACACCTTCCTTCCCCTCTTTGACCAGTGGCCCCCGTAACCTGGCGGCCTCCTCTGCCAACCCGCTGGGCCGCTCTATCGCGGTCTCCTGCTGCCCCGTCGTCCACGGCGTTAGCCCCCCCCCCTAAAAAATTACCACTCTGGCCAACATAGAAATACGACTACTAGACAAACAAATGGAAACTCACACCCTGGCTCAACATACAAGTGTCCCCAGAGCCAGGGCGTGACATTATTAATTATGAAATTATGAAAAATATTAATAATATTCCAACAATGAGGTCACTAGGTCATTTGACTGCTACTATTTTTGGCCAATGGGTATTGTAATTGATATTGTTGTCTCTCTACTGCTACTCCCTACTGTTATTAAAGGAGAAGTTTACCCAAAATCCAGAAACTCCAAAGTGATTCCATACATTGAAACTAGTTCAGTGGAGTTTGCCCTCTCCCCCTCTCTCTCCCTGTAGTACTGGTTGTTACCCATCTCCGCTGCTGTGGCAGTCGGCTACATAAATGTATTATATAAAATAATCACAAATGTTTTAGGTAGAAAAGTACACATTTCCTTACTCAAAACCGATAGTAACTTTTCACATAATTAGCTCATTCGGCAATACGCTTTCAATAAAACAATGAATTTGTCCACACTTTGTGGATTTCTGAATCATGATTTCACTGGCAATGGAGCAGAGTGAAGCCTGCATCCAGCAACATCACCAGTCACGTGAGCCGTTTTTGCAGTTGTTTCAGTCCAGCACTGCACGGAGTGAGAGGGGGAAGGACAAACTTCACCAAACTAGTTTTAATGTATGAAATAACTTCAGAGTTTCTGGATTTTGGGTGAACTTCTCCTTTAATAACAGTAGGGAGTAGCAGTAGAGAGACAACAATATCAATTCTTTACAATACCCATTGGCCAAAAATATGTATTTTTCTTTCGATCCTTTAATTAAAGATGTCAGACACATCCCACTCAGGCATGGTGAGAGGCATGCCGAGGGCTGTAGGTCAGCCAACAGGTTGCCATGACAACTCGGGAGTTTCGGCTGAATGTAGGGTTGGGAAGAGCTTAAGATCTTTAATGAATGCTGCTCGGCACCCTCCCAGCCAGCGTGTGTTTACTGACTGCAATAAAACAAGGCTCCGTCGACTCGACTACACGGGGAGCGACTGTTTCAAAGCTAGGCCAGCCAAAATGTCCCTGAATCTATCATGTTAATTAGTTTTCTGATGGATAAATAGCTAAATGTTCCGCAGGTCTGCCGTTATCTGTAGCTCATTAAGGGATTAAACACAAACCTCATCTGTTTAATTAATTAGGACGTTAACATATTGTCATCTGCTCTTTCATCAACAGGCCTAGAGCACTGACGCATGTTCTCCCTCAAAACAATATGCTTTCCATAAAAGGCATGGAGCCACTCGACTGTTACTCTCCTCTTGTCAGGGCTGTTCCAATGCCAAGCTCAATTTAATAAGTCACTATGCTGCTGCATAAAACGCACGGTGATAAATGTATTCATCAATGTGCTAGCAACACTTCACACTGCAATATTCTAAATGAGAAACGAAAAGGCTCTTGCACCAAGAGCAGCAACAGTCTAACTCCTACCCAACGTCAAATTCATCTGCAGTAGAAGCCAACCTGGGAGGAAATTATTTTCAATTATTAATTTACAGGATGAACTGTATAAATAAAAGCATATAATCTAATTGGAAACCAGAAAATGATACATCAAATCAATTGGGCAGCTGTGCCCTGCCTAAGGAAATCTCTAAGGGAAACACTGATTGTGTCTTACCTCTTCCAGTTTGTATGTAATCATGGTGAAGGCCCTGAAGACACAGTCTGTAGAACCGGTGATGGTGATGATCCTCTCTGGACAGGAGCCCTCTGAGATGTTCACCCGTGCACTGCTCTGTAGGGGAATAGACCAAGAACCAGGGTCTAGCTTTATTTACATTCTATTAGATGAGGAGAACATGGGTAGAGCACATGGTGGATGGGTGGATGGCGCAAATAAGGTGCACAGGTAAGAGGGTAGAGAGGTGAGGAGGACAGAATGAGGTTAGTATGGATAAGAACAGGTATGGTTAAAGTGACAGAGGTAAAACTCCAGCATACTCCAGACCAGTTAATACACTCTGCTCCACAGATAACTAACAATATACTGTATACTGTAGCTGGAGTAGCTGGAGTAGCTGGAGTAGCTAGATCACCCTACAGGGAATTGACCTTGCTGTAACCAAACCCTAGGCTGGTACTCTGATTTCTCCATCCACTGTCCCTTCATTTTCCCCCACAGCCCTGGGGTCTGGGGACTGGAGAGTGGACATGTGAGTATTAGAGGTATGGTGATACTTTAACGATGTTGATTACAGTCATCTTATGGAGTCATTCTGGCACTGTGAGGACAGACAGGGCTTGGGAGGAAGTCAGAGAGCCTCACATAGGGGAACTAACGAAAGGCCTGCCTATTTGTCTGTCTGACTGACTGACTGTCTGGGTGGACGGCTGACTAGCATGGATGACTGGTTTACTGGCTGACTCATCCAGTGGCCCTTCAGGGCTACATGCTCACCCAGTCTAACCACCCCTCTGGTTAGCATTCTGCTTCATAAAGTACAACATAATAGTTTTGCACCAGGAGTCAGAGGGACGAGAACCAACATAATGGCAATCAAATTACTTTTTATACAAGGAGTTAATCAAGTGCCATCAGATCAACTGCAGCCTCAACGTTTATGAGGGGGAAATAGAAGAGACATAAAGGAGAGAAAGAGGGGGAGGAGACAAACTGAGAAATGGGGAGAGAGGGTGGTTGAGAAAGCTTGACAGGGACAGACAGAGACAGAGAAAAGGGGGGAGAGGGAAAGACAGATAGAGAGAAAGAAAGAAAGAGATTTTGACACAGAGGCAGAAACAGAGAAAGAGGGATGAGGGAGAGAGAGTGCGAAAAAGGGAGAGATTTTTAATTGAAAGAGAAGAAGCCACCAGTGGCCAATAGGCAGGTCAGACTATGTGGCTGTTCTGTATGCTATCCCAGTCACTCTTCCCAAACATCCAGAGAGGGATTGAGTTTAATATTAATGCAACACAACCAATATTAGACACTGTCTCCAGTCTGATTATGTTTTGCCTTGAACTATAACCTTCTGGTCTACACAATAACTGGAAAATAAAGATTGCATATTGAATGCATATTGAGGCAGAAACAAGATGTGATACTGATAGCTTTGGAGCAAGTTGACATACATGTGTTTCATCTACCCATGACAGGCTCTACTTTGCATGGAGTATGGTGATGTAGAGTAGTCTTACACAGATAATGAACAGTGGTGATAGATAAGAAGCTGGTAACATACCTCTTCTCGTATTCTTTTCACCGTCTCTCCTTTCTGGGAAAGAGAAGATGAAGGACAACGTTGAAGTGAGGTGTGTGTAGTAGTGTCCTCAACCTGCAGATTGAAATCTGTCTGTACTTCAAATCCCTGTTAAAATGATACTTTTCTTCACATTGACTACATTTCCCCTTCATTGAAAAGTCATCTGAGCTAACATGGTATAGAAAAGTAGAATCCTCTATCAATCTAAGATGGATAGCACAATGCTGACACACAGTATTCTCATCCCATCCACATCTGAAATGTCTAAAATATGTATCGATTTTCACTTCAATCGGTTCCTTTATGTTCACATCTATAGCCCTCTACTCTTCTAGTCTCAACTCTTAATGTCTGTCCTGTCCTTATGAGATCCTTTCTGTGTGGCCCGCATCCAGCCAGCCTGCCAGGCACGCCACCCAGGCTCAGGAGTAGAATTAAGTCACACCTCTGTCATACATCCTCTGTCAGCTTTAGATTGCCTCCCCATCTGTCACTTTTATGTTGGCCTCAGCCCATCACTCTCGCCTCCCTTCTCCAAATGATTCTACCACCTACGCCTATGACATTGACAACCGGATGTGTTCTAATAAAAACACTACCATACTATTTTGTGTACTTAGCCACATTGTTATTTCATTCTAAATAGTATGCTAGTGTGTAATTTGGGATATTTTAGAAGGTGTGGTTCTGCAGGCTAGCAGAGATAGAGATGAGGAATGAGAGAAAGGGGAAGGGAGTTATTAACACAAGTGCTTTGGATGGAGAGCCTGGTTACAGGACGGCATGTGCCAAACACAGCATTTCTCGGCCTCCCACCCCCTCTCCATCCCTCTGTATCCCCTTTTCCTCTTTGTCAGTCTCTGTCTTTTCTCTCGCCCCTCTTTCTTATCCCCTCTTTTTCTCAATCTCTCATCCCCTCTGTGTTGGTCCCCCCCCTCCCTCTCTCGCTCTCTCTCTCTCCCCTTCTCTCGCTCTCTCCATATTTCTTTATCCCTCTCATCCTTCTCTCTCTCTCTCTCTCTCTCTCTCTCTTTCTCGATCTCCTATCTCGCTCTCTCTCTCTTCTACTCTCTCTCTCTTCTCGCATCTATCTCTCTCTCTCTCTCTATCTCTTCTCTCTCTCTCAACCTGTTCTATTACAGTGCAAGGCTGCAGGGCAAGTGGGAGCCAGCGAGGGGGTAGAGAGCAGCCTACACCCCCTCCTAGTAGACATTAAACTGGTAAAGCGCAGCCTACACCCCCTCCTATAGCAGACACTAAACGGGCAGACAGTAATATGCCTTTCGGAGCTCCGTTTCAACCGGAGGTTTGCAGTCAACGTACTAATGTTTCTGTTTGATGGATTACTGTATTACATTAGGGGATAGAGAGGGTCTTAAGTGGCTTGGTTTAAGGCAATTACATTTACAGTCAGCAAATTGTGTGTCAGGAGGCCTTATGTCTGTTTTGCTTTTAAAGTAGAATGGAATGACATTAGAAAAATCCTTCCACATAGATTGGTTTATGAACACTTACAAAATGGCATGGTTTGAAGCGTCTATTTTTAATGGAGGATAATTCACATCACTTTTGCTAGTACAATATTATTCTAATTCTAGAAAATGTCTTCATTGATCTGAAAATAGCCATCCCTTGTGATAACAGCATGTCTTGGATCAGAAAGCCTCTCTGAATACTGTATGTCTTCAGATAAGAGCTATACATAACATTACATTTACATTTTAGTTATTTAGTAGACACTCTTATCCAGGGAGACTTACAGTTAGTGAGTGCATACATTTTTCATTCTTGCCCCCCATGGGAAACGAACCCACAACCCTGGCGTTGCAAGCGCCATGCTCTACCAACTGAGCTACAGGGGACTACCATGTATATGATGGAAGAAAAAGATAATCCTTCTCACCTTGCCTATGATGCTGCCAACCTCCTACAAATACCAGGGATAAAACAAATATACATTCATAAATTAAAGAAATACAAGATTCTTAGAAATATCTACCTCTGCTTTCCAGAGACTCCTATCACCAACAACCTCTTTATGTGCTAAATCGACATACATTGAGCTCCAAAAGTATTGGGACAGTGACACAGTTTTTGTTATTCTGACTCTGTACTCCAGCACTTTGGATTTGAAATAACACAATAACTATGAGGTTAAAGTGCAGACTGTCAGCTTTAATTTGTGGGTATTTTCATCCATATCGGGTGAACCGTTTAGAAATTACAGCACATGTTGTACATAGTCCCCCCACTTTAGGTGACCAAAAGTATTGGGACAAATTAACTTACGTGTATTAAAGTAGTAAAAAGTTGAGTATTTGGTCCCATATTCCTAGCATGCAATGATTACACCAAGCTTGTGACTCTACAAACTTGTTGGATGCATTTGCCATTTGTTTTGATTGTGTTTCAGATTATTTTGTGCCAATATAAATGGATGGTAAATAATTTATTTACTTTTATTGTAAATAAGAATAGACTATGTTACTAAACACTTCTACATTAATGTGGACGCTACCATGATTACGGATAATCCTGAATGAATTGTGAATAATTATGAGTGAGAAAGTTACAGATGCACAAATATCATACCCCCCATAAAATGCTAACCTCCACTGTTATTGTAATGGTGAGAGGTTAGCATGTCTTGGGGGTATGATATTTGTGCGTCTGTAACTTTCTCAATCATTATTCACAATTCATTCAAGACATTCCGTAATCATGGCTGCATCCACATTAATGTAGAAGTGTTTAGAAACATAGTCCTGAATGAAACAACAAAAAATGTGTCACTGTCCCAATACTTTCGGAGCTCTCTGGAGGCAGCTGAGGGGAGAACGGCTCATAATAATGGCCGGAACGGAGCAAATGGAATGGCATCAAACACCTGGAAACCATGTATTTTATGTATTCTATACCATTCCACTGATTCCGCTCCAGTCATTACCAAGAGCCCGTTCTCCCCTATTAAGGTGCCACCAGCCTCCTGTGCTGTATACAGTATACTGTCTTAACCAAATCTGTCATTTGTATTATTTACATTCTACAGACAAAGAAGAGCAGGAACACAAGTCAGGAGGGAAATGTATATTACATAATTACATTCTTAAAATCCAACATTTGAATCCGAATACTTTAACTAATCCCTAAGCATTCATTTCTATATAGCTACAGTGAGGGGAAAAAGTATTTGATCCCCTGCTGATTTTGTACGTTTGCCCACTGACAAAGACATGATCAGTCTATAATTTTAATGGTAGGTTTATTTGAACAGTGAGAGACAGCATAACAAACAAGAAAATCCAGAAAAACGCATGTCAAAAATGTTGCATGATTTTGCATTTTAATGAGGGACATAAGTATTTGACCCCCTCTCAATCAGAAAGATTTCTGGCTCCCAGGTGTCTTTTATACAGGTAACGAGCTGAGATTAGGAGCACACTCTTAAAGGGAGTGCTCCTAATCTCAGTTTGTTACCTGCATAAAAGACACCTGTCCACAGAAGCAATAAATCAATCAGATTCCAAACTCTCCACCATGGCCAAGACCAAAGAGCTCTCCAAGTATGTCAGGGACAAGATTGTAGACCTACACAAGGCTGGAATGGGCTACAAGACCATCGCCAAGCAGCTTGGTGAGAAGGTGACAACAGTTGGTGCGATTATTCTCAAATGGAAGAAACACAAAAGACCTGTCAATCTCCCTCGGCCTGGGGCTCCATGCAAGATCTCACCTCGTGGAGTTGCAATGATCATGAGAACGGTGAGGAATCAGCCCAGAACTACACAGCAGGATCTTGTCAATGATCTCAAGTCAGCTGGGACCATAGTCACCAAGAAAACAATTGGTAACACACTACGCCGTGAAGGACTGAAATCCTGCAGCGCCTGCAAGGTCCCCCTGCTCAAGAAAGCACATACACAGGCCCGTCATAAATTTGCCAATGAACATCTGAATGATTCAGAGGAGAACTGGGTGAAAGTGTTGTGGTCAGATGAGACCAAAATGGAGCTCTTTGGCATCAACTCAACTCGCCGTGTTTGGAGGAGGAGGAATGCTGCCTATGACCCCAAGAACACCATCCCCACCTTCAAACATTGAGGTGGAAACATTTTGCTTTGGGGGTGTTTTTCTGCTAAGGGGACAGGACAACTTCACCACATCAAAGGGACGATGGACGGGGCCATGTACCGTCAAATCTTGGGTGAGAACCTCCTTCCCTCAGCCAGGGCATTGAAAATGGGTCGTGGATGGGTATTCCAGCATGACAATGACCCAAAACACACGGCCAAGGCAACAAAGGAGTGGCTCAAGAAGAAGCACATTAAGGTCCTGGAGTGGCCTAGCCAGTCTCCAGACCTTAATCCCATAGAAAATCTGTGGAGGGAGCTGAAGGTTCGAGTTGCCAAACGTCAGCCTCGAAACCTTAATGACTTGGAGAAGATCTGCAAAGAGGAGTGGGACAAAATCCCTCCTGAGATGTGTGCAAACCTGGTGGCCAACTACAAGAAACGTCTGACCTCTGTGATTGCCAACAAGGGTTTTGCCACCAAGTACTAAGTCATGTTTTGCAGAGGGGTCAAATACTTATTTCCCTCATTAAAATGCAAATCAATTCATAAAATTTTTGACATGCGTTTCTCTGGATTTTTGTTGTTGTTATTCTGTCTCTCACTGTTCAAAAAAACCTACCATTAAAATTATAGACTGATCATGTCTTTGTCAGTGGGCAAACGTACAAAATCAGCAGGGGATCAAATACTTTTTTCCCTCACTGTACAGTTATTCCCATAAAATTCCTCTTATATATTCCCAGTTATTCGCATACAATTAGTCTTATATATTCCCAGTTCTTCCCATACAATTACTCTTATATATTCCCAGTTATTCCCATACAATTACTCTTATATATTCCCAGTTATTCCCATACAATTCCTCTTATATATTCCCAGTTATTCCCATACAATTCCTCTTATATATTCCCAGTTATTCCCATACAATTCCTCTTATATATTCCCAGTTATTCCCATACAATTACTCTTATATATTCCCAGTTCTTCCCATACAATGCCTCTTATATATTCCCAGTTCTTCCCATACAATTACTCTTATATATTCCCAGTTATTCCCATACAATTCCTCTTATATATTCCCAGTTATTCCCATACAATTACTCTTATATATTCCCAGTTCTTCCCATACAATTCCTCTTATATATTCCCAGTTATTCCCATACAATTCCTCTTATATATTCCCAGTTATTCCCATACAATTACTCTTATATATTCCCAGTTATTACCATACAATTACTCTTATATATTCCTAGTTATTCCCATCCACTCAAACTGTACCTTGCCGTGCATGAGCAGTCGGAGTGTGAGGGTCACACCCAGGACCCCATCTCCAAAGTCCTGCTCACAGTTCATAGTGATATGGGAGTTGCACACAGGGAGACGCATGAACAAAGCTCATCCAATGGACACGCTGTCAGATGAAGACTGCTGCTCTCTCTCTTCTCTGTCACTCCCCAGTCCTTCAAAGCTCTGCTGAGACAAAGTAAAGAAAATGCCATACGTTAGACTTGATACCTGTTCGGTATCAATACAACTAGATTTCAATACAAACACTCTTCCCATACAATTACCCTTATATATTCCCAGTTATTTCCATCCAATTACTCTTACATATTCCCAGTTATTCCCATACAATTACTGTTATATATTCCCAGTTATTCCCATACAATTACTCATATATTTCCAGTTATTCCCATACAATTACTCTGTTTGGTATCAATACAACTAGATTTCAATACAAACACTCTTACTCATTTGTTGTGATGTTTTACCTCAACATTTGAATGATGTGATATCAACTAGAATGTCACTTTGCAATAGGAAGTCAATGGAGAAAATATCCTGTTTGCATGACAAGACATACCCAAGGCAGAGCAACCATCACATCTCAATCTCACAATGCAGGATGCTTGAAACAGAATCTGAATTCAGAGTGTTGAATTCAAATCAGTCACTCTCAGTGAGTCCTGCTCCATGGCCATTGTGCTTTCTGTAGCTGTTCAAGGTCTAACCCACTGCACAGCTGTATCGTGGGCTTCACAGAAAGTGAATACAATATGCAGATAGTTGTCTATCTCTAAGGTTACCATTACTAACCGAACAGGGCATTGAGGACAGCATAAAGCTCAAACAAGTTCACAATATCCTGTTGAATGTAAGGTTTGCCCATCCCCGTGGATTGATGAGGAATTGAAAAATTGTATGGTTGAGAGGGATGAGGCAAAAGGAATGGCAGGTAAGTCTGGCTGCACAACCGATTGGCAAACGTATTGCAAATTGAGATATCATGTGACTAAACTGAATAAAAAGAAGAAGAAACTACACTATGAAACAAAGATAAATGACATAAAGAATGATAGTAAAAAGCTTTGGAGCACCTTAAATGACATTTTGGGAAGAAAGGCAAACTCAGCTCCATCATTCATTGAATCAGATGTCTCATTCATCACAAAACCAAATGATATTGCCAACTACTTTAATGATTTTTTCATTGGCAAGATTAGCAAATTTAGGCATGACATGCCAGCAACAAACGCTGACACTACACATCCAAGTACACTACCGTTCAAAAGTTTGGGGTCACTTAGAAATGTCCTTGTTTTCAAAAGAAAAGCAATTTTGTTGTCCATTAAAATAACATCTAATTGATCAGAAATACAGTGTAGACATTGTTAATGTTATAAATGGCTATTGTAGCTGGAAACGGCTGATTTTTTATGGAATATATACATAGGCGTACAGAGGCCCATTATCAGCAACCATCAGTCCTGTGTTCCAATGGCACGTTGTGTTTGCTAATCCAAGTTTATCATTTTAAAAGGCTAATTGATAATTAGAAAACCCTTTTGCAAACTGTTGTGCTGATTAAAGAAGCAATAAAACTGAAGAAGCAATTAAATACTACTCCCTTCACAGCACAGCGCAAACTGGCTCTAATCAGAATAGAAAGAGGAGTGGAAGGCCCCGGTGCACAACTGAGCAAGAGGACAAATACATTTTAGAGTGTCTAGTTTGAGAAACAGACGCCTCACAGGTCCTCAACTGGCAGCTTCATTAAATAGTACCCGCAAAACACCAGTCTCAACGTCAACAGTAAAGAGGCGACTCCGGGATGCTGACCTGCTGTGATCTTTTGCCCATCTTAATCTTTAAATTTTATTGGCCAGTCTGAGATATGGCCTTTTCTTTGCAACTCTGCCTAGAAGGTCAGCATCCCGGAGTCGCCTCTTCACTGTTGACGTTGAGACTGGTGTTTTGCGGGTACTATTTAATGAAGCTGCCAGTTGAGGACCTGTAAGGCATCTGTTTCTCAAACTAGACCCTCTAATGTATTTGTCCTCTTGCTCAGTTGTGCACCGGGGCCTCCCACTCCTCTTTCTATTTTGGTTAGAGCCAGTTTGCGCTGTTCTGTGAAGGGAGTAGTACACAGCGTTGTACAAGATCTTCAGTTTCTTGGCAATTTCTCGCATGCAATAGCCTTCATTTCTCAGAACAAGAATAGACTGACGATTTTCAGAAGAAAGTTCTTTGTTTCTGGCCATTTTGAGCCTGTAATCGAACCCACAATTGCTGATGCTCCAGATACTCAACTAGTCTCAAGAAGGCCAGTTTTATTGCTTCTTTAATCAGCACAACAGTTTTCAGCTGTGCTAACTTAATTGCAAAAGGGTTTTCTAATGTTCAATTATCCTTTTAAAATGATAAACTTGGATTAGCATACACAACGTGCCATTGGAACACAGGACTGATGGTTGCTGATAATGGGCCTCTGTACGCCTATGTAGATTTTCCATAAAAAATCTGCCATTTCCAGCTACAATAGCCATTTACAACATAAACAATGTCGACACTGTATTTCTGATCAATCTTTTCTTTCAAAAACAAGTAAATATCTAAGTGACCCCAAACTTTTGAACGTTAGTGTATATCTGACCAAATTATGAAAGACAAGCGTTGTAATTTTGAATTCCGTAAAGTGAGTGTGGAAGAGGTGAAAAAATTATTGTTGTCTATCAACAATGACAAGCCACCGGGGTCTGACAACTTGGATGGAAAATTACTGAGGATAATAGCGTACGATATTGCCACTGCTATTTGACATATTTTGAATTTAAGCATTTTACAATACATTTTAGTCATTTAGCAGATGCTCTTATTAAGCCTACTAGAAAGTGTGTGCCCCAGGCTTGGAGGGAAGCAAAAGTCATTCCGCTACCTAAGAATAGTAAAGCCCCTTTTACTGGCTCAAATAGCCGACCAATCAGTCTGTTACCAACCCTTAGTAAACTTTTGGAAAAAATAGTGTTTGATCAGATACAATGCTATTTTACAGTAAACAAATTGTCTACAAACTTTCAGCATGCTTATAGGGAAAGGCATTCAACAAGCACTTACACAAATGACTGATGATTGGCTGAGATAAATTGATGATAAATGATTGTGGGGGCTGTTTTGTTAGACTTCAGTGCGGCTTTTGACATTATCGATCATGGTCTGCTGCTGTAAAAACGTATGTGTTATGGCTTTACACCCCCTGCTATATTGTGGATAAAGAGTTACCTGTCTAACAGAACACATAGGGTGTTCTTTAATGGAAGTCTCTCCAACATAATCCAAGTAGAATCTGGAATTCCCCAGGGCAGCTGTCTATGCCCCTTACTTTTTTCAATCTTTACTAATGACATGCCACTGGCTTTGAGTAAAGCCACTGTGTCTATGGATGACTCAACACTATACATGTCAGGTACTACAGCGACTGAAATGACTGCAACACTTAACAAAGAGCTTTGTTAAGTGTTGCAGTTAGTTTCAGAGTGGGTGGCAAGGAATAACTTAGTCTTAAATATTTCTAAAACTAAAAGCATTGTATTTAGGACAAATCATTCACTAAACACTAAACCTCAACTCAATCTTGTAATAAATAATGTGGAAATTTAGCAAGTTGAGGTGACTAAACTGCTTGGAGTAACCCTGGATAGTAAACTGTCATGGTCAAAACATATTGATACATCAGTAGCTAAGATGGGGAGAAGTCTGTCCATAATAAAGCGCTATTCTGCCTTCTTAAAAGCACTATCAACAAGGCAGGTCCTACAGGCCCTTGTTTTGTCGCACCTGGACTACTGTTCAGTCATGTGGTCAGGTGCCACAAAAAGGGACTTAGGAAAATTGCAATTGGTTCAGAACAGGGCAGCACGGCTGGCCCTTGGATGTACACAGAGAGCTAATATTAATAATATGCATGTCAATCTCTCCTGGCTCAAAGTGGAGGAGAGATTGACTTCATTACTACTTGTATTTATGAGAGGTATTGACATGTTGAATGCACCGAGCTGTCTGTTTGAGCTGCTGGCGCACAGCTCGGACATCCATGCATACCCCACATGACATGCCACAAGAGGTCTCTTCACAGTCCCCAAGTCCAGAACAGACTATGGGAGGCGCACAGTACTACATAGAGCCATGACTACATGGAACTCTATTCCACATCAAATAACTGATGCAAACAGTAAAATTAGATTTAAAAAACAGATAAAAATACACCTTATGGAACAGCGGGGACTGTGAAGCAACACAAACAAAGGCACAGACACATGCATACACACGACAACATACGCACTATTAACACACACGTACACATGGATATTGTACTGTAGATTTGTGGTAGTGGTGGAATATGGGCCTGAGGGCACACAGTGTGTTGTGAAATCTGTGAATGTATTGTAATGTTTTTTAAATTGTATAAACTGCCATAATTTTGCTGGACCCCAGGAAGAGTAGTAATGGGAATCCATAATAAATACAAATGCAAATACAAATACAAATACAAATGTGCACAATAAAGCAATATATCTCAACCCCCTGATAATGAAGCAGCAATGTCCCATCCTTCTGAGGTAATTGTAAATCGATGGTCATCCATAACTAAGTCATAATGATGAAGGAATAATGTGTGAGCAGGCTATTGACTTCTAGCAGTGCTGCTGTCAGCTGCAGGGTTCCAGGCCACTCTGGCTAGCGGGGAGATTGTTCCCTAATAGACAACGAGTGGGTGTTAGTGAGTACAGGACGAGACTGACTGGCCCTTGATTAACTGGTAGCTGACTTCCCTATAATCAGAGAGGTTGGAGAGAGACTGAGCCCAAAATGGCATGGTGTCCTTGGGTACATGGGTTATGTGATGATTGTTCCTTTCAAACGTTTTAATAGAAGGCTACAATAGCACTTTGGTTTCAAAAAGTGCATTTAATTAGATTACAGCTTGCAGTTGTTTCAGTTCTTCAGCTAATTAAAAAACGGTGCTATGCTGCGATGTGCTGTACTGTGATGTGCTGTACTGTGATGTGATGTGCTCCAACTATGTGAAGACTAGGCTGTTGTACACA